TAATTTTTATCAACTGCAAAATAAATTGTTTAATAAAACATGACTCCGTTGGAATTAAAAAAAAAAAAAAAAAATATGGTTTTTTAAGATTAAAGATGGCAAACGTGATTTAATTCCAATATGTGAATACAATGGATTCACATTAGCCATCCAATTAGTGACAAAAAGTCATTTCATTTTGGTAGGAGATGTAATGAGATCAATAGTATTATTGGCTAATAAAAAAACCTGTGGAGTTTGGTGGTAGAAAGGCTTTAGAATTTGATGGATTAATGCTATCGAAGCATTAAATAATGATAAATTCATTGTGTTTCGAAGAAATGTTAATATTTCAGATGTTTGTTAAAAGAGAATTCGGATGTGGTGGAATTTATAATTATGGATTCTATTAATCGATTTAGATGCGTAGATATTGATCTGATATTATATTTATTTAATATTTATTTAATATTTATTTATATAAAATATTTATTTAGGTCATTGGCAGTAAATTTATCAGAACCAATAATATATCAAGTATTATCCCAATCAGTCAAGAACACAAGGATAAATTAAAAAAATTACAAGGTGCATATCAAATTTATGTTGGTTTGGATATTTATTTGTAAGTGTATTCTTGTATATTATTTTATATTATTGATATCATTGTATATATTGTATAGATGTATTATTATTATGTATAACATTCTATCATTATCTTTAAATATGAAGAAAGAGAATTACGAAATTTTATTGATGGCAACATAATTCAATAATAGACTTAGGTAATTAATAATTATTATAAGCGAATATTTATATATATTATACACACATACACTACATTTTATTGAGTAGCAATTTTGGTCATTTTCTCACAAATATAAAATTGTAATAAAAATGTAAGCTACTCGCTCATAAAAAATAACAAAGTGGATTTTTCAGCACTCCCATGAAGGTACAGTTAGACCATTCTACCAGGAATATCCAAATACAAAGATGTAAAAAAAATGTATTTATTATTGACTTTATTATTATTTTATAATTTTTGTAAATGGACAAAAGGAAATGAAAAAATAGATAAATTTATTCAAGATGCTTAACTAAATGCATGATTATTTGAGAAAGAAATGGAGTGAATCCTTTATCACAAATTTAAAGATATTAAAGAAATTGTTAAAGGTGGTTTTGATACAATAAGTGGATTGATGATATACTAAGAGATGGGATATTAGAATAAATCAATGGAAAGGATACGGTAAACTTGAAGTGGAATTAAAAAAATTTGATCTTTTTGAAAATCCAGAATTCTTAAATGAGGTAAAATATTTTTTGAATTATTTTTTCGAATATTTAATTTTAATTTATAAAAATACATTATATACAGTAGATAGCAATTCACTTGATGCGTTATTGTTTCTTGACTTTGGCCTTTTGGCACTAATGACTCCATCCGAATTTATGTAATAAAAAAAGATCCCGAAACCAATAAATATATAGATATATGGGCAATCGAAATCTTAGAGATCATTTAAGAAATAATTTTGATAATATTAATTGGGAAGAAATTATTTTATTAAAGTGATTTAGCATATAGATCAAACTAATTTCACATATTTAATATTGTACACCAGGATTTTCGCTAGTTAATTACATTTATAGTTTAATTTGCCATGGTCCTATTGAAGATTTTTTAAATGGTTAAGTGAATCGAATTCATTCAGATCCTGCAATTGGGCATGAATTAATATGTTTTAAATTTCTGATTCTAATGGAGACTGGGCTATTATAAGAATTATTTATAATAGACTATTTAATGGTAATAATTATTATTACTATTTTATCGATCATTTATTATTAATTATTACCAATTATGAGAAAGAAAATGGTTTCGGCGTTTCTTGTTTGCCAATTTACCTATTGATTCACCAAATCTGAAAATTTCATATTTGCGATTGTAGGTTTATGGAGTGATAAATTAATAAACATAAATTTGTCTTCATAACAATCAGTTTCGCGGTCAGTTAGGTTAGAAACATTTGAAGGAATACTTTGTTGATTAATAGGATTTTGTGATGGACAAGTTTATTTTTTGAATCAAGTTAATGCTTTAACGTGTATAAAATAATAAAATAAAAAAATTATTGTATCAAATATGCAATTGTCACGATTGTCTCATTTTCGAAGCTATAAAAGCTGCCATCAATAATGACAATAAAGATGGAATTAATATATTACATAAAAACATTTTTCTCTTTATTCTCTAAGATCTATTCCATTCTATTATCTCCTAAATATTTTATCATTTGAATCTACATCATAAATTATCTTTCAATTTAATCATGAATCAAAGGTTACATCATCTTTCTTTAATATTTATTTATTGATTGATTCCTTACAACTCAATTTTTATTAATGAAAAGAAAATTTAAAAATTAAATAAATAGTCTTATAATATAAATGTTACTTTATTTCTTTATCATTAAATCAAACATAAATTAAAAAAATCAGAAAATGGGATCGAAAATAAAAAATGGGAAAACGTGGCATTCCATATCAAGGGGTCGTAATTAATGGAGAGGATCAATGATCACGTAATATTGTGGTGACGACGAAAGATTGGTAAGGTGGAAAGAAGATAGCAGCGCAGAAAACATGTGGTATGGGAACACAAATGATGGAAATGATGAAGTAAAGATGATGGAAATGATGGAGAAGTACAGATGATGGAAATGATGGAGTTGTACAATGATGGAAATGATGGAGTTGTACAATGATGGAAATGATGGAGAAGAATGAATGATGGAAATGATGGAGGAAAAAGAAATATAAAAGTAGCGGTAGCAAGAGGAAGGAAAGAGAGTTCCTTTTCGCGGCATATTTTTGAAATAGCAACATTTGATATTTTATCTCTTTGTTTTATTTTTATCTTATTCTATTTTATTAAGTAATTATAACAACGTTTATAATAATATTCATGTAAATAATAGAAGTAGTAACAGAATAGAAACACGTCATTGTAATATTTTGTTGCCTAACTTCTAATAAAATTTTCTTTTACTGTTCAATCATAAATAAACATTTTATCTCTTAAAAATCTGTTCTAACACCGATAGTATACGTAGGGAAAATTACCTCTACTTCACTTGCTCACGTACCTTTCAGATAATATTTACGATTTCGTAGTTGTCATTTAAAGTTGTCACACTGTATAGCGATACACGAAGAAGTGTAAACTATTATTGTGACTGGGAACTTGATTTGCTGTGTAATTCTGTTGTGTACTGTCCAGACGTGACAATATGAATAATAAGAATCACGGGATTGCAGGATCAGGATCAATGATCACGTAAATGCAAATATGCAAATAATAATGAACAAAATAAACAAACGAAAACATCTTAATTCCTCTTCTTTTCTCTCTTAAACTTTGATAAATTTAAAAACCTTATACAAAGTTATTTTAGTTAGTTTAGCTTGAAAATGCCGTTGGATAGATATAACCACCACTTTACTCATTCCGTTTCGCCTTATTACCGTCGCCAATCTTCTGTTCCTACTGGTGCTGCTTCTCCCGCTTATACTTTATATTCTGATTCCGCTTCTAACACTTCTTTTGTTCCTCCTGGTGCTGCTTATCCGGCTTATACTTTATCTTCTGCTTCCGCTTCTAACATTGCTTCTTTTGTTCCTTCTATTAATACTAATTATTATTGTTCTTATTATCACGACCCTTCTTATTCTTATGCTATTCCCGATTTTGTTAACTCTCCATATTTTACTCCTTCTACTTATTTTTCTCCTGCTTCTTCTATTTCTTTGCCTAGTTCTTCTTCTATTACTTTTATTTCACCTACTTATGTTTCACCCGCTTCTTCCACTGCTTTATTAACTGCTGCTTCTTCTATTACTTTGTCTAATTCTTCTTCTATTACTACTATTTCGCCTACTTATGTTACTCCTGCTTCTTCTACTGCTTTATTAACTGCTGCTTCTTCCACTAGTACTACTCCACTTCTTTAACTCCTTCTTATGCTTTCGTTTCTACCAATACTTCTGCTGTTCCTGTTGCCACTAACTTTGCTAATTCTGCTAATTCTTCTTCTTCAACTACTACTACCACTACTAACTCTACTATTCCTTCTACATTTTTTGCTACTAATAATTTAAATACTT